TCTAACGTTTCCTTCTGCGTTCTGAAATTTGATTCATTAGTTATTTTTTCTTCTCTCGCAATACTAGTGGATAGGTTCGTCTAATGTCCTGTTTACACTTCTCCCCGGCATTTTTTGAACAGGAGCAGAGGTTTATCCCTTGTTTCCCGTTTAGGATTGGGTTTCCGGTTCCTTCTGAAAGTCTACTTCAACTCTATACTTCTAACGTTTCCTTCTGCGTTCTGAAATTTGATTCATTAGTTATTTTTCTTCTCTCGCAATACTAGTGGATAGGTTCGTCTAATGTCCTGTTTACACTTCTCCCGGCATTTTGAACAGGAGCAGAGGTTTATCCTTGTTTCCCGTTTAGGATTGGGTTTCCGGTTCCTTCTGAAAGTCTACTTCAACTCTATACTTCTAACGTTTCCTTCTGCGTTCTGAAATTTGATTCATTAGTTATTTTTTCTTCTCTCGCAATACTAGTGGATAGGTTCGTCTAATGTCCTGTTTACACTTCTCCCCGGCATTTTGAACAGGAGCAGAGGTTTATCCTTGTTTCCGTTTAGGATTGGGTTTCTGGTTCCTTCTGAAAGTCTACTTCAACTCTATACTTCTAACGTTTCCTTCTGCGTTCTGAAATTTGATTCATTAGTTATTTTTCTTCTCTCGCAATACTAGTGGATAGGTTCGTCTAATGTCCTGTTTACACTTCTCCCCGGCATTTTGAACAGGAGCAGAGGTTTATCCCTTGTTTCCGTTTAGGATTGGGTTTCCGGTTCCTTCTGAAAGTCTACTTCAACTCTATACTTCTAACGTTTCCTTCTGCGTTCTGAAATTTGATTCATTAGTTATTTTTTCTTCTCTCGCAATACTAGTGGATAGGTTCGTCTAATGTCCTGTTTACACTTCTCCCCGGCATTTTGAACAGGAGCAGAGGTTTATCCCTTGTTTCCCGTTTAGGATTGGGTTTCCGGTTCCTTCTGAAAGTCTACTTCAACTCTATACTTCTAACGTTTCCTTCTGCGTTCTGAAATTTGATTCATTAGTTATTTTTTCTTCTCTCGCAATACTAGTGGATAGGTTCGTCTAATGTCCTGTTTACACTTCTCCCCGGCATTTTGAACAGGAGCAGAGGTTTATCCCTTGTTTCCCGTTTAGGATTGGGTTTCCGGTTCCTTCTGAAAGTCTACTTCAACTCTATACTTTAACGTTTCCTTCTGCGTTCTGAAATTTGATTCATTAGTTATTTTTCTTCTCTCGCAATACTAGTGGATAGGTTCGTCTAATGTCCTGTTTACACTTCTCCCCGGCATTTTGAACAGGAGCAGAGGTTTATCCCTTGTTTCCCGTTTAGGATTGGGTTTCCGGTTCCTTCTGAAAGTCTACTTCAACTCTATATTCTAACGTTTCCTTCTGCGTTCTGAAATTTGATTCATTAGTTATTTTTTTTCTTCTCGCAATACTAGTGGATAGGTTCGTCTAATGTCCTGTTTACACTTCTCCCCGGCATTTTGAACAGGAGCAGAGGTTTATCCTTGTTTCCCGTTTAGGATTGGGGTTCCGGTTCCTTCTGAAAGTCTACTTCAACTCTATACTTCTAACGTTTCCTTCTGCGTTCTGAAATTTGATTCATTAGTTATTTTTCTTCTCTCGCAATACTAGTGGATAGGTTCGTCTAATGTCCTGTTTACACTTCTCCCCCGGCATTTTGAACAGGAGCAGAGGTTTATCCTTGTTTCCCGTTTAGGATTTCGGTTCCTTCTGAAAGTCTACTTCAACTCTATACTTCTAACGTTTCCTTCTGCGTTCTGAAATTTGATTCATTAGTTATTTTTTCTTCTCTCGCAATACTAGTGGATAGGTTCGTCTAATGTCCTGTTTACACTTCTCCCCGGCATTTTGAACAGGAGCAGAGGTTTATCCCTTGTTTCCCGTTTAGGATTGGGTTTCCGGTTCCTTGTAAAGTTTACACCAACTCTATAATTCTAACTTCTTTAACTGAACTCTGAAATTTTATTCACTAATTAGATCTTTAGCTCTTTAAGTCTAGATTTAGTCATTATCTTTCTTGCCCCAAGAACTTCACTTTTTGCCCTTTCTAACGCTCATATAACCCTCTACCTTCAGTGGCTCTTGGGCCTTGTATTGGGTGAACATTAGAAAACACTTTTAATGTTATACAAAATAAACTAAAGATAATCAAATAAAAGCAATGTTGCTACTGATACTACTAGTGTAAAAGTATAATAAAATGTATCGCTGGTAAAGTACTTACATAAAATTGGTGGGTATAAGAAGTCATTAGATTCTTGTAGTTTAGTACTAAATTAGCGCCGAATTTACCAGGCACATTTGAGTCAAAAGAAATATGAGTTTTGATTCAGTTGATAGTTTATTCGTTACTTCCAGTCATGCGTTATTTATTCCCTATTGTGGATTGACAATCCGAGTAAAAGTTGTGATAAAAAGAAACTAAAAATGAAGGCAAATTTATCAAAATTAATAGCAGTTCCGTAAATTTGTTTTCAAATAGGTTTTAAGATATTCTACAAGCAACATGTTTTTAATAACACTGAAATCAGAAAGCTAAAGCAAATATAATCTGATCTTAAGAGCGATTTCGGAGATTAATTGTAAATATAGTATTACATATAGTATTAAATTTACTTAGGCAAAACAATAGCCTGAAGAGGACATTGTTCCAAACAGTATTAAAGTGCACTATAAACACATGTTCAACATGCAACCCAGTTGACGAATCAATGGAGTTGCCTTAACTCGTTTTGAAGAGATTAGTGAGAGGTATTTAAATATGTACCTGGTAATAACAAAATAAGTAAACAAAAGCGTTTCTTTCTTTCTTTCTTTCTTTCTTTCTTTCTTTCTTTTTGATGTTTTTTTTTGTTCGATACCCTAGCGCATATAGTCTGACGCCGGCCAGGCATACATCCGTCTGTAATGTATAGAGGACACTTTAATTATGCTATGTCCAATGCACAAGGTTACCTCGGCTGACAGGTGTCTACACGAGACAACACGTCCACTTAAAGGTGTCAGTAAAGTAATCCAGCCGAAAATCTAACCCACTCAATGACCGTGCACAGGTCAACCAGTGCTCTATCTATCTATCTATCTATCTATCTATCTATCTATCTATCTATCTATCTATCTATCTATCTATGATAGTGTTGAAAGTTTCTCGGCCCAATTAAGAAGAGCTTCGAAAATAATTTCTGATGTTTGGTCATTTTGGTCAGATTTTGAGTAGTGAGTCGTGAGTATTTCAACACTACCTCATTATCTATATCAGTATTTTAATATCTATCTATCTATCTATCTATCTATCTATCTATCTATCTATCTATGTTAGTCTACTACAGAACAAAGGCCGTTCCTAAATCCTTCCATGACGACCGTGACTGTATTATTCTCTGTCATGCTTTACCAGCAAACCTCTCATATCTGTATTCTATCTGTTATTTTTTTCTGTTACGACACCAATCAAGCAACCATTTACTCCATCTGTTATCTTTTCTTCTTGCTATATGTCACGCTCAACTCTATTTCTTCATATCATTTTTTCTGATCCATGTTGATCTCTTTTTGTTTAATAGGGCGTGAGTAACCGAGATTTTTTCTTTTAAATCGATATCACCCCATGCAAGTCAGTAAAGCTACTAAGACACAAGAGGTTACAGGGTTGTGGGAAAATTAAGGACAGAAACATTAATAATGAGCGGAAGGGTAAAGAGCAATCAGGAGGACAGTAGATAGCGATTGATATTACATTTAAATTTTTGCAGATTGAAGTTTGTTTGAAAAGCATTTGAACCGGAAGGGAGTTTCACAAGCGAGAAGTGCGAGAAAAGAAACTGTTAGCATAGAACTTACGGTTACATCTAGCCATCTCAACTGTAAATTGCTGAGATTTCGACGCCAGTCTAGTACTGCGCTTAAATTAAAATGTCTAAGTCTCATAGCGAAGTGCTTATCCGGACAATTACCATGGAGGTATTTATAAGAACGACAAATTACCATGAAGGTATTTATAGAAAAATACAAATTACCATGAAGGTATTTATAGAAAAATACAAATTATCATGAAAATATTTAAAGAATAGACAAATCACCATGAAAGTATTTATAGAAAAATACAAATTATCATAAAAGTATTTATAGGAAAGACAAATTACCATGAAAGTATTTATAGGAAAGACAAATTACCACGAAAGTATTTATAGAAAAGACAAATTACCATGAAAGTATTTATAGAAAAAGCAACCTTACGGCGATGGGAAAGTGACTGAAGCCGAACTACCAGACCAGGATGAATAATACTGCTGATTCTTCTTTTGGTTTTATTAAGGAGATCAAGCTAAATAGCAGGGGTACCAGCATTTATATTCTAAGCATGGAGCTGAAAAAAGTCTTTAGAGAAGTAACTGGTATGTTCTTTTAAACATGGTGCTACATAGTATTTTAGTAGTTAAATATAATAAAACACTTCACTTTTTTTAAAAAAAAGTTTTTCTGCTTATTTAAATCTGTGTCCCATGATGTACTCTTGGCTTTTGAAGGTAGAACTCGCCTTCGTTGATCGTATTTATGTTCTTCAACGAACCAGGAAAATGATTTGTATTCGTTATTAAGCATTAACCAAACTATACTTATCTACATTTTAAAATAGAATTATACGCTTGGATATCGTGGGTCATACAAGTCCATAAAAATGGCTTTAGATGGTAAGGTAAAGTATTCCATCATAGGATTGATATTTAAACATATATGTTCATATGAACACCTGCCTCCATACTGTCCGCCCTGGATGGCGTATTAGATTTCTAAAACAAACCAACCATATCATTTATATTTATAATAAATGAATGCATATTAATACATGTCTTATACTATAGAACATATAGAAACATAAAATTATGTCAGTATATTGTACTAATATCATTGCTTTCCAAACTGTATACAGAATACGAAATGCTTTCTACATAAAGGCTTATCTCCTTACCACGTTAACACACCGACTCCCATACGATCACAGAAGTTAAGGAAGGACGAACCTGGTCAGCACTTAGATGGGTGACTGTTTGGGAATACCTGATGTTGTAAGTCTGAATATGCGGCTGGTGTAATAGATAATGGCTCAGAATTGTTAATCGGAGAGTTGAGTTCCAATTTTCGTTGTATTCGTCATATTCATTTATGTTCAAATACCCTTGGCAACGGTACCAGTACTCTTTCCCCTCAAACTATGGGTTAATAAGTAAGACCCTGTATCACTAAACCATTGTTATCTCCCCCAAGAATTCTTAAAATCTAAGAAAAATTCTGGTTTTAAATAAACTGAAAATGGTCGATAAGCCGTAGAAAGCGGATCATTTAATCAATTATACATAAAAACAAAACTCATTGAGGGGTACAAATAATGTTTCTGTCAAGTCGGGAAAACTATATTTTTATACTAAATTAGCACCAAATCGAAAGTAACTAAAGTTAAATGTTTACTCTTAAAAATGGTTAAGATGAATTAGATCGGTGATATGAGTAAAAGTGGGGATGGTAGGTAATAAAAGATATGAGGATAATAATGGTAGATTGATCCTTAACCTGAAGTTTTCAAGAAAGCATCCACGAAGTAGCATTTCACAAAGTAGCAGTTATTGGAAAAATAATTACTGGAATTGCCTCCTTCAGTCAGTTACATGCCACATTTAGGCGATCATGTATCTTTCGATACATAACTGACGAGGCAGATTTTTTTCCTGAAGTAGGTTACCATTTCTTTCTGTGGTAGACCAGTTGTCCTCCAAGGCTATAGAACCCGATCTGTCCTACTATTTATCCATAGCTGGGGTGGGGGGAAAAGAAGAGGATTCATACCTTTCCCAAAGATATTAGCACGTCAGTCATTCAGTTATGTGCCATGCGTGATACACGCTTAGGCGATCATGTATCTTTCAATATATGACTGACGAGGCAGATTTTTTCCGGCAGTAGGTTGCCATTTCGTTCTGCTGTAGACCAGTTGTCATCCAAGGCTATATTTACCCATAGCATTAGAAGAAGAGGATTCATACCTTTCCAAAGGATATTAACATGTAAGTAAATGTAATGGCTTCGACTGGAATTCGAACTCGGCTCTCCGATTCCTCAATCTTAGTCGCTATCCATTACTCCACATTATATTTGGAAAACAGATGAAATTGAGGGTGATCCGAATCTATAGAAATTATATGACAAGTCCTAACTGTAAAAGCTTGAGCTGGTGTAACTAAAAAGTGAAGCTCATCTGATTTGCGATGGAAGTAGAGGATGCGTAGCGATAGGTGCCTGTGAGGGATTGGCTACCGTGTAGAGAATAAATATTCCCTCACAAGACTGCTTAAACGATTCTGAATTATACCAAGGCCGGAAAGTGAGGACTGACTAACTCCAGCCCATATAGTAGTTGTAGTACTCCATTTTTGGTTTAATTTCGCTTCTGTATAATCTGAAATTTACTTTCGTAAAATGTCCAATTCACATGAAGAACAAACTTGAATTTGATGCTCCAAGTACGACGGGCTTGGATCCAGTCTTTTTTGATAAATTCAATATTAGTAGGATATTCTACTTGATTTTATTTTGCCGAGAAAACTGCATTTTGCACTAAGCTCATTTCTAATACTAGTCTAAATAAAGAGAAAAAAACAATATGGCGGTATAGTGATCAAATAAATAAGCAATATATCTATATGACTAAAGTGAATGAATCTGATCTGATAACAGTGTTGTTACAAGTATAGATTCTCAAGGGTGAAGAGAACGAGATCAGATTTCATCAGTGGATTCCGACCAAAATTTTCGATTAATTCTGTTTATGTGAGAATCGTGATAATGCGATAGAAATAATCCGAAAGTAATACTGATAAAACTTGATAAGGTTTTATGTAAGAAATTTGAATAATACTGTATAAGAAAAAGTTTTGAAAATGAGAACATTTTGTTATTTAAAACTTATAAACACATTATAGACTTTCGGATAAGAAAGGCAAACAAAACAAGTGAAAAACAGAAAAAAAAAAGATATAAAATAGATACTTTTCACAGTAATTTTTAGTTCTCGATGCTAAATCTCATCAGTTCGATAAGTTTAAATTGGCGCCGATGTAAAAAACGACAGACAATTAGCTGTGGCAAAGAATTGCTTGTTAATTTTAACGCCTGCAAAACGAAACCGCTTTCTATTAATAAACCGAGAGACACCTTTCTGTCTTCCATCAGCATGACTGATGCTAATCTCCAGGGTAAGTTGCGTTTCTCGGGTTAATATCAATAGAAATAAGATAAAACAAAAATTACTTACATTAATAATATATATAATGGCAATAATTTTGATGTAAAAGAAGAATTCTTATTAATTGAACTTCAGCTATATTTGAACTAATTGTGTTTTTCAGTATGAATATATATATATATATATATATATATATATATATATATATATATATATATATATATGTACTAACATATGTTCCATGGAATAATATAGACATAGTGTGGCTACTTATTTTTTATACTGATGCTTTCCATTTGTCTAATCTGTTTCTTGATTTTAAGATGAAATTCACCATCACAACGGAATACTGATTTGATCGTAGTTACAATGAGTTAGAAACTGATTAGACAACTGGAAAGGATCAGCATAAAAATAAGTAGCCTGAATGAAGATATTTTGTCTATATATATATATATATATATATATATATATATATATATATATATATATATATATATCGCCCAGCTGACAGTTTAAATATTTCTGAATGAGTTTAACGGCATGCATGACATCCGTATGAAAGTCTCGGTTTGACGAGGCTATTTAAGAAAATGACTGAAGTATTAGGTTAATGTTTTGGCTTAGTAGTAACTTCCGGTGTTGAGCGAATCTACATCTATCACAAAGGCGAGTAACAACAGCAATAATAATAATAATAATAATAATAATAATAATAATAATAATAATAATAATAATAATTGTTACAATTCTATGGGACTACAGAATACACATTGACAGAACAATCAAAGCCAACTGCCCAGATATTGTTATTAAAGACCACAAACAAAACGGTGCCTCCTTGTTGATATGACTGTCCCTGCTGACTGCAATGTATCTTTGAAGATATTTAAAAAGCTGTCAAAATACAAGGACCTTGAAATAGAAATCTCGAAAATGTGGCATATGGGAACATCAACAATCCCTGTTGTAGTTGGAGCCCTAAGACTGGTTGGAAAAGATTCCAGTAGACTAATTGAAGGGATTCCTGGAAGTCCATGCCTCAAGGAGATACAAAAAATTGTTCCGACAAGTACAGCCCACACTTTACGAAGGGCTTTATCTATGTAATTTCTTTTTTTTTTTTTTGTCAGTGGAAAGTGTCATGCTGCCATTTCTAACCTTAGGTCCCTGGGCGAGACCCGGAAAGAAATGTGTAAACGCCAGAAATGAAAGAAAATAATAATAATAATAATAATAATAATAATAATAATAATAATAATAATAATAATAACTTTTCAATACAGATAGAAAAATGAAAGCTAATCGCCCAGACGTCGTGATGTAAGACCACAAAAAAACAGAAGTTGCTTTATTATTGACGTAGCGATCCCTGCAGATTGTAATGTATCTATGGAGATCTAAAAAAAACTATTAAAATACAATAATCTTAAAGTAGAAACCTTAAAGAAATGTGTCACATGAAAACATCAATAATTCCAGTTGGAGCGCTCGACTTGATTAGAAAAATGTTCCAAAAGACTCATTGAAGAGATTCCTAGTAGCACACGACTTAAAGCAATACAAAAATTGTAATCACAGCTACAATTCACACATTAAAAAGAGTTTTGTCCATGTAAAATGTTTGTGTTCTTAGGTTTTTCTTTTTACAAAAATGTCATTGGAAAATGTCATGAAGCCATTTCTGACTTTAGGTCTCTTGTTGGGACCCGAAAGAAAAAGTGTTTACAATAGAAATCAAAGGAAATAATAATAATAATAATAATAATAATAATAATAGAAGAAGAATAAGAGCATTGTAATAAAACCTCTTCTTTTACTTCAAGATTTTTTATTGAATTAAATCATTTTCGGGTATCGTAGATTTTAGAAAAAAAAACTGTTTGTATAATGCTTATCTCTTGAGTGCTTATATCAGATTGTAGGCTTGTTTGTGTGATGTTTATGAGAACAGGAATATAAATATAAAAGCCGTCCCAGTATATGCTTTTGTACTTTTGCCTTTTATATATAAAATCAATGACAGTAGTATGTTGAAGTTATTTCTGGGTGTGTGTGTGTGTGTAAGTGTCTCTGATCCTCTGTTAAAGAAGGAATAAGTTAGTTTACACAAGATATCTATGTAAGTGTACGTAATGGTGTCAATGAGTGTATTTGCTTATAAATGCTTACTGAGCCTTACATTAAAAATACATCATACAAAGTAATAATATTTACTGCACATAGTTTTATCTATAGATATTTACTAAACTGACCTCACGTTTGTGTTCAATCCGGAAGAATCTACCTTTATATTAATATAACTTGTTAAAGAAACCTCAGATTCAGCTGTGAAAAGTTTACACAATTTACAGTGGAAGACATCTTTGTTTCGGATTGTTATTCATTAAAAAAAAAAAAAAAACTATTTTTATTGTGACATATTTGGGTTATCTTAGTTCCCTATAGTCATACGTATTTTGCACCCAGTGAGGATCGAACTCACTTCTAAGCATTAATGGTCAACCAGACTAGAATCGATAACCATTGTTTCACACAGAAGCTCCCTAAAATAGTTTGGAGTATAGCTACACGTATTTTGCACCCAGCGAGGATCGAACTCACTTCTAAGCATTAATGGTCAACCAGACTAGAATCGATAACCATTGTTTCACACAGAAGCTCCCTAAAATAGTTTGGAGTATAGCTACACGTATTTTGTCACTCAGTGAGGATCGAACTCACTTCTCAACAAAAATGGTCAACCAGACTAGTTCATTAACCCTTACCCAATATCGAGGCACGCAAATGAATAGTGCAGTAGTAGTGGACAACTAGAGTATCCTTACTAAACA